GGCGGGAGCGCCACCACACTCCCAAGCGGCGCACTATAGCAGTGCGCCACTGGGCCGGCCCAAGGGGGTCTCATGTTTTAACTTCACTATCTTTTCTCCAGTTACCTGTCTTACGAGGGGTCTTCAGAAAATTCATAGAAAAATAGAATTAAAAGATAGTATGAATCTTTCCATGAACTTTTTGAAGACTCGTATTTTATCACTTGATTTTTTTAAAAATATGTTTCCATCTTGAAGTAGAGTAATGGGAGAGTTGCAAAGATTATTTTTTTGTTTTTCTTAAAATTTTTTTAGCTGAGTCTCCTGGCTAAAGTAACATTTTTCTGCCCTAGTACGAAATGGAAATCCAGACATATCGAGAGAAACTGACTTCTAAAGAAGAATGTCTCAGCTCACAAAAGTTGGAGATGGACCTCTTAAAGTCTAGTAAAGAAGAACTCAATAACTCTTTGAAAGCTACCACTCAGATTTTAGAAGAATTGAAGAAAACCAAGGTATGTTCACTTCTCATTGCTTTGTGACTTAGAATGGTTGGGACAGACGGTAGTACTTTTAATGGTATAGAATTAAGTGCTCTTGTTTTAGTTTTATGAAAATCTTTTGTAGTCAGAGATTATACCATTCATCAGTTCTCTGCTGAGTTATGTTAAGAAAAATCAGTGGATGGTCTGTAGTCTCATAGCCTGAATGAACTTAATCCTCTCCAGCTAAAGGATGTTAAAGGCTTCTTGAGATGGTCATGAAGATCAATTGACATAGTAGATCAGGGCAGGATGCTCCAGCTATAGAAAACAATTTGGACAGAACTTTGGACAGTTCCAAAGTCTTGCTTGATCGGTCTCCAAGTTCACTGTCACCAAACCCAGTTTCCTGTGGCTTATCAAGGTATGGCAAAGCACCTTGGTTAGGTACACATATGTGGATATTCTCCTCTTCTCCACGCAAGGATCATAAAACTTTTTTCTTTAGGAAAAAAGGAGGTAAACCACTCTTCAGGTTGTCACTCTGAAGATGATGCTACAGTGATTCTACCTGGCAAAGGAGGTGTTTAGATTTCTACAGATATTTTTCATGAATGAATACTACCCAGAATATGTAATAATGGACCTGGAAAGTAAATATCTTCCAACAAAGGTCACTACTTATTGGACGACTTAAATTTTAAAAATTATGATAGTTATTGAATATTTGCAAACAGAAGGCTAGGTATAGGCTTATTATGTTTATAGTTATTACATAGCTATCAAGGTTAAGGAAATTTATCAATTAAATATGAACTGATAAAATTCAAAATAGCATTAAGTGATTAAAAATTTTATGCTCCTACCAAGTGAGAGATGTTGGATTTAATAATAAAAAGTAGCAGCTTCAGGTCTACTTTTTTTTCCTTCCTTTTTTTAAAAGTTAAAAAAAATTTTTTAAAAATTTTACTGTCTTTCAGGTCTAGTTATTTTCCACTTTTTAAATCTTTGACAGTATGTCTATTCATATGCATATGATGTATAAATTGGTACATTGTTTGCTAGTAGAATCTGTTCAGATCTCATATAATTTTAATGAGGTACCAGTTGATAGGCACTGTTGGAATTGAATTAAATGGATCTCTAATCCAGTGATGGTTGGAATCAGAAATACAAAGTTCTGAAAGTGTAGATTTACTGCAACATTGCCCATAAATTATTTCAAGATAAAATATACAAGGATGAGATCCAAGCCATAATATCTCCTTGCAACATGAATGTGATACTCCAGCTGCTTCTGCTGTTGCCACTGCTGCTTTTTGTTCTTTTCAGTAGTTTGGTCTTCCTTTATATGTTCATGATCTCTTATCAGATTGTTTTATAATTCTGCATTTTTAAAGATATTGCATGATACAATGCATATGCTGTATAATACATATTATTCCAGCAGGGTCTGGGATAATATTTCATAATTAAATTCATATTTCTGCAGCAAAATTTATGAGTATTCTGACAAAGTCGGTTAAGTAAAGGCTATAAATACGTTTATAGTTATTCAGATCAGGTTTTGCTTCCAAGTCATTTTCACAGCTTTTTTTTTGGTTTGGAACTGTGGATAAGGAACTGTGAACTTGTGTCACTGACAAGTGTATGAGGACACAATTCCCCCACTACACTTTCTATTTGAGCTACTGTAAAATTTAAGTCCGCATGGCGAGCCGTAATGTCATTTGACCTTTATTTGATATGACTAACACAAATACCGTGTTAGATATTGAAACTGTAACTGTGCAAGATTACAAATGGGAATGCAGTTCTACCGTTGAGAATTTTGACCCACCAAGAATATGTCCATGGACTTTCCCTCCAGTGATCCAGCGTGATTCCCAAATAAACACAGATGTAGTGGTTATTTAACAGGACATCATCTTAGGAGCCACTGTGATACTAAGAAAAGAAATGACAAAACCTTGTTGTCTGGTGGGGAGACTTAGGAAACCAAGTAAAGGAGGTGAATTGTTTTGTGTATCTTTAGATGTTTTATTTGGAACATAATCTTAAATTTATATGATTCTTAATTATATCTCATAATTGTTTTTCTATATGCTTATAAAAAGAAATTCAAGGGCCGGCCCCGGTGGCGCACTGCTACAGTGCGCCACTTGGGAGTGCGGCGGTGCTCCCGCCAAGGGTTCGGATCCCACNAGGGGAAAATAAAGTTGTTGATCAAATCCTGTAAACAACTGGAAGAGGAAAAGGAAATGTTGCAGAAAGAGCTGTCTCAACTTGAAGCTGCACAGGACAAGCACAAAACAGGTGGGCATTAGCTGGGGTGCATCAGTTAGCCAGAACTATCTTCCAGTACTGAAATACATGCTTATGGTATACATGCATCGGAAGTGTTTTAAGTGCTCTGTTCTATTAGTGCTGATTTCCAGCAATTTTCAAATTTCTGAATTTTGTGCTCAGCTTGGGTTCATTATAGGATTCAAAGTGAAGCCTGTGTTTTAACATAGAATTATTGCATCTTATGTTCTATAAGAAATGCAAAAAACTGGTGGTACTTTTTGCTCATGAGCC